TCTCTCCGTTAAATAGGTTCAGATTAATTTGCATTTGAACACTTTCTGGTTTGCAGATTAGAATAATTAGGCAAATTTTCATTTCCACTCTTGGTGCAGGATATCTTTCTCTTTGGATACTGGGTGGCCCCTATCCTTCATTTCCCTTCTGATGGAGGTCACTGATCTCACCTCTAAAGCCTGTTTCCCCTTTCTATCTATAGCAGCAGCTCCAATTGCACAGCCACAGAGCTATCCAGAGGGAAGGCAGGATTAGTCCTGCTCATAGTTGTCTCAGTGTGGTGCAGGTCATGGCAGTTGCTGCTCCCACATTACCATTCCTGGTGAGCAGCTGCTGGCAGCAGACGGATATCTGTATCTGTAGGTATATTGAAAGAAAGATAGAGATATAAAGCATATTGATAGAGAATTAAAGCAGACCTAAAGCTAAGAAAAATCATTTGGTCCAGCTTAGGACCTGTGTGGGTCTTCAAGAGGAGTCAGTTTCCATCCCATTTCCTGGCAAAGGGAGCCTAAAAACATGGTTTGATTTCAGCCACTCTGACCTCTGTATGAAGAAGACCCATTTTGCCTCTTGCCTCTCTTTTCCAAGTGATGACAGACACTTCAGTGGCTGCTGTTGTACCAGCTACAGACAGCAAATTCAGACCAGCCAACTGTAGCTGTAGCTTGTACTGGAGTGCTTGAACAAGGTTTGCTGCAGTGGCTCCTGCAGGTCACACACTGACTGGAGGTGTGCAATAAATAACTTCCAAATGATGGTTTTATCATCTGTGCAGCTGGATCAGAGTAGGTCTAAGAGTGCTATGGGCCAAGCACTGAGTGTCAAACTGTGTTCAATATCCTAGGTCATACATTCAGGAAAGGTCTGATAGTAGGTTAATTTGAAAGGACCATGCTCCACTTCTAGCTTGGAGTAGTTGTTAATGTTATTAGCTTGAGAAATAGATTATTTTCCCCCCTCATGATCTCTTTTATGTCTCTTTTTTGGTGACTGTCTTCCCCCTGTTATGTGCAGCTTTCATGAACTTGGAGCTGATCTGCAATTGCTTGCATTGTCCCATGCCTTATTTAATTGTGCAAATTGCTTTCTATTCCAAGGACAAGTTAATGTAGAAATGGAAAAAGTTAGAACTGTTGGGATAAGCGATCACACTTTCTTTTAATTTTTGGGTTTAACATAACAATAGCTACTATTTCAAAAGCAGTCCCTTGTTGACGCGGGAGTCACGGACAATGCAGAGATGATCAATGTGATCAAGCGATTGCCAAATTTATTACAAACCCTTAACTCCTTATATACTATTTCTTACATGCAGTTACAGTGATTTGGCATATTATGATTGGATACATGTCTTGAAGAACCTCAGTGACTAACATATAATTGGTTAAGCACAGGTGTGAGAACTTGACCTCAAAAGCTTGCCAACAGTCCACAGTTCTCATTAACTCAGTGAATTCCAGCTTCTTCTTATCTTGCTTGCTTAAGCTTCCTCGGGCCTCTCATGGCCTTGCTGTATCTTTCAGGATTATTCAGAGTTTATGTACCAGTTATCCATTCTCCTGTGAGAACACTGTCTCCACAGTCCCTGGCTCTGCCCTGTCACCCCTTCATGCAGGCAAAGTACTCAGTCTGAGTCTCCTCTGCCCTCTCCCTTGGGATAGATTCAAAGTCCATTAATCAGTAGAAATCATCCATAAGTCAGCTCAGTGGGCTCTGGGCTGAGGCTTCTAGTGCAAGTGGGAAGATGCCATCAAGGAGGAATTATCCCTGTCACAGGATTGGGTCTCCTTTATAAGTCCCACATAACAAAGAAGAAACCAGGCAGAAAGAAAAATGGACATAGACCTCCAGCTCTGTCTAAAGACAGTGCAAACACCATAGACTAGCTTAGTAAAGCAAGCTGTTAAATGGACATTATTCCAGCAGCCTTTTAGCCACCTCTTGAATGAACATTAACTGCTGAATCAGTGCATAGACTCACCCAGTACTTGAATTATTGATGTGTAGTTTGCATGGGTTTAAAGTGTTGGTCTACCCATTGGGCTTAGGTTTTTTTGCAGATTAAAGCAAATGTTTTATTACTTCAACCCAACTGATTCCTGCCATGTGTAGATAGATGTTTTTCAGGTCATTTGCAGAGATTGAGAGCTTGCCAAGCAAACCATTCTTCCTGATTTCTGTTAATATATTAACACAATAGGAAACTTAAAAAAAGGGAAACCCAGGTGGAAAAACATTGCACCCTTTTTTGGTGCTGTGTGTGGCAGTGGGAAGCTGTCACTGTAAAACTGAACTTTTCTTCTGTAACTTGAGAAAATCTCACTTCTGCTTGATTCAATGGCAGTGTGCTGCACCATTCAATAAGGGTATGGCTCTTGTGGCCATTGTAACAGAGCAAGATAACAGCAGCACCAGGCACAGTGAGTACTGGCAGGGCCTGTATGCAACTCCCATTAATGCTGGTGGGGTTTTATGGGTGGGTTGAGAGCAGTGCCCTGCCATTAGTGTTTAATTTTTTACAGGTGAATGTGCACCATCTCTGAGTGTAGTTACATGCAAGAAAGATGGGTGAAGATAACAGTTCACTACTGTCAAAGTCCAGGAGTGGCTTTACATATAATGCACCCCTGCTGTGTGCTTGGTTTTACAGTAACTAGGCTGGCAAACATACTGTATGTGACTTGTCCAAATAGTGTGCTGTAAGTGTTGGAGTGATTCATACCTGGAAAATAATGTCAGCTTTTGAAGGGATGATGGGGCTGACTTTATCTATGTGCTGGACAGGGGAAGTGCAGATACTGTACTGACACTTGGCAGTGTTAGGTTAGCAATTGGACTCAATGATCTTAAGGATCTTTTCCAACCTAAATGATTTTGTGACACTGTGCCTGATCTCTGCAAAAGGAAAAAGGCAGTTTTTCCTCTGTGCTGGGCATAGCTGCCTGTGTTGATCCTGCACAGTACATCAGGTTGAGGCTCTTAGAATCAGACCTGGCATTTCATGGTTTTGGGGGAGTTTGAGGTTCTTTTTTGAGCATATGCCAGCACTAGCTGCAAGATTTCAGTGCAAGCCTAGTGAATATCAACAACTCAAATACCTCCTGTATAACCACTTTCTCTCCAAAGAATCCTTTGCATGGAGGAGAAGATGCCTTAGCCCCATGGTTCCATTTGGGGCCCTATGGAGCCATGGTGGTGAATAGTGCAGAACTCTGCCTTCACACTGCAGCCTTGCCTTCAGCCTCGCTTGAGCTCTGTTGGTCATCTCCTCATCCTTAATGCATTTTCTTTTAGCACTTCTATTTTTAAGTTGGATATTTAAAAGGAAAATTTAAGGGACTGGCTGAGGGTGCAGAGAGGAGGGGAGCTGGTTGAAGGACTGTTAGCACTTGCTCCTGAGTCTGGTCTTCTTCACACCTTTAAGTTATTTGTATGCATAGTTGGCTTCCTGCACTGGTTGGCACTGAATGAGTCAGGATAATGTCATGGTTGCCCACAAAGCGGTGCCAGCATAAGAGCACAACCTTGCCAACACAAGGCCATTGATTAGTGCAGAGGAACTAGGGCAATCCAATTATAACCACAAATGCTATTGGCTTTCTCAAATTCTTAGTCAAATAACTTCAGGCTCTCTGCTGTATTAAGGTGGTCTGGACTATATCAAGAAGGGAATTCATAGGACTCTAGGTAGTGCAGAGTAAACAGGATTTAATTCTTGAATACTGTATTGCCTATTTACACATAGGACAAAAGGATAGTATTTTTCAAATAGGTAGAAGCTGGCTGACCCCCTTTGCCTGCCCTTGATATTGGAGAATGTATTTTATATGTCCTTTTTTGGAAATTATTACAAAATATCCTAAGAGGAAACTACACAGGAAAAATAGCTAAGAAGTTTCCTATCATTTTGATCTTGTTTGAGCATTGAGTATTCCTTTGTTCCCTAATATTATGCTTCCTCTAACCTACTCAGTGGGTCAGATAAGGAAATGTGATATTTTCCACCACCATGATGAAATTAGGCTAAAGCTACAAAGATTGTGAGGGTTGTAGCCTAGAGTCTTAGATGAGTAGTTCAGATCTGGCTTTATATTAAATGCAGAAGCAAATAGTCTCTCATGGATGAATCACACTCAATTAGCTACTTCCTATGATGAACTGATTAAAAATTAAGTGGCATCAAATAAGATTGATTTTGCTCTTACATTTAAATAATGCTATAATTACATACTAATCAGATGGTAAATCTTAATTGTACACGTTCCATATGTTTTATTTGCCTGTTCTCCCTCTTCACTTTGTCGTCTTTGTATCAGCATGGAGTATATTTTCAGGCTGCTTTTATGTTTGGCCTAATTGAATATCAAAAGCAGTATATGTGAAACTTCCTGAATTCTATTCTTTAGCCAGTGGCAGCTGTGCTATTAGATGACCTTTACCATTCCTGTAGCACAGAATAATAAAGGGAGGGGGGGAATTGAAGCCCAGCCATGTTATTGTTAGAGACAGAAATAAATCATATATAATTGCTTTGCTATGAAGGCCAAATCCTGCCGTCCTTCATGCCTGAGTTAGAAATACAGGATTTGGACCTTTGTTTCCTGTGGTTTCCTGGCCACCTTGGACGTGCCCAGAATCCTCACACTGTCGCTGCGGTGGCTAATTACCATCATGGGGCTCACGTCGTGTTAAACTGAATGGCAGCCCAGGCTCCATCCCTCCTGCATGGGCAAGGAGACAGCTCTGCTGCAGGGAAACTTCATGGGAATGTCCATCTTGAAGTGCCATTGACTTCTGTAAGGTTAGTTTAAAGATTAAGAAAAGCCTTAGATGTTGGATTACATGGTGGCCTTCCACAGAGTGCTTCTGGTTTGGGTACTTGTTTGTAACAAGCCTGCTGACTCTTTATTGAAGTGAAATAGCTATTTTGATATGTGGTATTAACTTTATTCACTCCAAATTGCACTTGGTGTTTTTGTCTGCTTTTCAATCATAGATCATGAACACAGTCACAAAAAGAACAAGCGGAAACACTGGAGAAGAGAGTGGGCCGAAAGCAGTATATTATCTGACGTGGAGATGTTGAAACACAGTCTGGAAGTGAATTCATTTTCTGCAGATAGCAACAAGACTGGGAACATCATTGAAAAGAAGAGCCACAAACGAACAAAGCGGTTTCTCTCCTATCCTCGGTTTGTGGAAGTGATGGTGGTGGCTGACAGCAGGATGGTTGCCTACCATGGAGCTAATCTACAGCACTATGTCTTAACGTTAATGTCAATAGTGAGTAATTCAACTAGGAGGAGTACATTTACCCACGGATCATTTTCTAGGCATCACAGAGCACACTTTCTGCTGTGTTCATGTGCAGTACCATCAGTTTGCCTAGGCCAGGCATGGAGATAGTGCTGGGATTAGAGTACAGCTTGGAATCACTAGTTGGAGTTGTCTTTCTTCCCAGACTTTTCCTACATCTCTCCCTTCCACCTTTCCAAACACCAAGAATTAAGAGAAATATCACTGGCCCTTCAGTCCATGTCTTCTTTTTATTTAAGCCCATGTGAAATAGCAACTGAATTAAAAAGGTACTTTGGGAAGTGTGCCTTCCAAGGGACTGATGCTAGCAAGTTACACAGGTGCCTACCTTCCCTTGCTGTTGCAAGGAGAAGCAGCCTGGGGTCACCTGGATCCTTAGCATAGTGCTGGGATGGGCTTTCCTGGCAGAGAACAAGCATTTTAGTAGCTGCTGGTACTAGGATGCAGTAGTACCATCCCCAGATAAGCAGCTCTGTAGATGCAGAGTGACTGGAATGAATATCTATCTTCCATAGTTGTGTCACTGGAGGGATTTTCATCCTGTTTGAAGGTAGAAGTGCACTGAATATGTGGTCTAAAACTTTCTACATCAAAATGAGGTAGTTGGGAGAATAAGTTGCTTTTGACAGTCTTGATTGGTGGTCATTGTATCTCAGAGCAGAATGATCCTGTAATTTGATGAAATGTGCACTAAAGCAAAAGGAAATGTCTGGTTTCTAAAATACCAGCAGGTTTGCCTCATTCTGAAATTGTGCTTCTGGTAGGAGGTCTCTCCAAGTAGCATCAGAGCACTGAGTGGGACAGAAGAGCAGCTCTGGGATAAAACAGTTACAGAATGGAAAACATAGACTCATAGAATGACTCATAGAATCATAGAATAGTTAGGGTTGAAAAGGACCTTAAGATCATCAAGTTCCAACCCCCCTGCCATGGGCAGGGACACCTCACACTAAACCATCTCACCCAAGGCCTCGTCCAACAACGTGTTGTCTTAGTTGTTTCTTTCCTTGAATGTTAACAATAATTCTGAACAATTCTATTTGAATCAGGTGGCTTCTATCTACAAAGACCCAAGCATTGGAAATTTAATTAATATCGTTATTGTGAAATTGGTGGTGATACATAATGAACAGGTAATGGAAGCGATTTTCTTCACCTGCTGTTTGACAGTGGTGTTTGTAGTGGGCATTGCGACGAATAAGTAAATTCCTGCTGTGTGTTTCTTATTAGGATGGTCCTGCAATATCTTACAATGCCCAGACAACACTAAAAAACTTCTGCCAATGGCAGCAATCACAGAACCACCCTGAAGGAAGTCACCTTCAACATGATACAGCTGTGCTTGTTACCAGGTATGGTGAATATTCTCATGAAAACTATAGCCTGTCATATATCAGAGGCTGTGAGCATGTCACGTATCCATCTATGGGAAATTATTAGGTTTGGATGTGGGTGCAGTGACATTTGCAATTGTGGGAGCAGTGTAACTGTGAGCTGAATTGGGATAGTGTGACCAACATAGCGATAGATGACTGAAAGCTTCAGGACTATCCAAGTTCTGCCTGTGGGTTCACCATAGGGTGAAAAACATTGACTGTGGTAGGGAGCTGGTTTGGACTCTCGATAATGTGGCAAACCAGTATGAGAAGGTCTGTTGGAGGACCAAGAATTGCTTTTGGATGTTGTTGTTATTGTGCTTGTACCTTAACTCGCTGCTGCATTGAAAATTAATGTGTCAGGTCTGCTCTGCTTTCAGACAGGATATTTGTAGAGCACACGACAAATGTGATACTCTGGGTAAGGAAAACCTTTCCTTTGTCTTTTAATAACTTTTTTTGTACTGACATTGTTAGTTGCCTGTGCTGAACTATGGGAAACATTTCCCTGTCATAAATCTCTGTTCTCTCCTAGGTCTGGCAGAGCTGGGCACAGTCTGTGACCCATACAGGAGCTGTTCAATTAGTGAAGATAACGGACTGAGCACTGCTTTCACAATAGCACATGAACTTGGCCATGTGTATGTTTTATGTAAATACATTTACATTTAAATAGCCCAAGATTTATACTAGCTAGGGCAGGGCTTGCCGGCCAGACTAGGACTTGGTACCTGCTGGGCCTAATTATTTGAGAGGAGATAAATACACTTGGGTAGAAGATGCACCACTGAGGAAGATTAAGCTGTGATTCTGAGAGGTGGTGGAGTGCTCCAGAGCCCATCTGAGAGCAGCAGAACCACATTTTGAGGAGGATGAGTGATAGGGTACCCCAAGCAGCACTCAGGCAAGGGAGGAGTGCTAACAGATGTCCCTTATTACTGCATCTTCTCACATCTGCATGCAGATGGCAGGTGCTCAGCCTGTCACAGCTCATCCCACTGCCATTTGTGGTGCTACTGAAGGCAGCCCAGCTGTGTGTGAAGGCAGAAATTTACCCAGGGCATCTGGCAGGTAATGGGAATGTATAAGAGAGCCTTATCCCCCTCTTTAACTATTTCATGATGGAAAATCTCATGCTGCTGGACATCCCCAGAAGAGATGCTGTCATTCAAGATTGCATCTCCTCCATTGGAAACTTCTTTTAACTGATTTTGACTCCTTTTGAGAGTGGTTGGGAGAAAAATCATCTCAGATCATGTAGTCCTTTACCCTTACCCCCCAGCTGTAACTCTTAGCTGATTTAGCTCCAAACCACCTGCCTGGTTTGCAGTGGAGGTCTGTAGGTTTGAGATGGATGAGTACTTGAGAACAGATCTCTCATTGTTTTAAACTCCCTTTTTCTTCACGGGGAGCTGGCTGAGATGGTCTGTTTTTAACTACAGTAGTATTTGTTTAAATGAGATTTCCTGATGAAAAGTCCCCGAAGTTTTGGTGTTCCCCACACCTAACCTGTGGCTAATTCCTTCCCTAATGCCCCAGATCTGCCGAAGGGGTTAGCAGTGCTCCCGAGCAGGAATCGCCTCTTTGCTCTTTTACAGGGAGCAGAGTGGGAAAGGTGGTTCAGTGGAGGTAATCTTAATGGGATATAAACTCCCCAGCCTTCAGACGCAGGATCACACCGGGTCATTTCCCCTTCTCCACTTCAAACAGCCAAGCGCTTTAAGCCATTCCGTCTCCCCTAGCATATTTGCTGCATTTTCCAATATGTCATGTGCTGCAAGCTTCGCATGGGTTTCTGCTGATATTGATGCTTGGTGGCATTTTGTAAACCTGCTACATAAAGTATAGGAGCCAGGTCTATCCCTGGTGTGACCCTGTTTAGCCAACAGCATGAGGGATCAGCGTGGCCCAAGGTATTCAACTGCATTAAAAAACATTTGGCAGGCAATGTAGGGTGCACGCAACGGACTTCAGGTGGGCAGTGAGCTCAAGACATTTGTCTCCTTCAGAACCTCCTAATTCCCCTGGCTTCACTCTTGGGTCTTTTTCTCAGTTCCAGAGTTCTTTCTATTTTCATGGTGGTGGGACCAAACTCCAGCTTGCCTGCGGGTGCCAACAGTTAGTGAAAAGCTGAAATAGCATCTTACTTCAGGCTCCCTCCGGCTAAATATGTGTGGAGAGCTTACCAGGATGTTCTTATCTTTTTGCAGACAAGTGATAGGGCCTGCATTTGAGGAATACTTGTTGACACTTAGGAATATGTGCATATATTCTGCAGTGCCCGTCAGCAGTATATCTAGGAAAAGTTCTTGGGTTTGCTTACTTTTAGTTCATACTGTTGCTATGCTGAATACTTGACATTTGTCACTTAACTGACTCTGCTTTTCACTGCTGTTTTTCTCTTAGATTTAACATGCCACACGATGACAATCATAAGTGCAAAGAAGATGGAGGTAAAAATCAACAGCATGTCATGGCGCCAACACTGAACTTCTACACCAACCCCTGGATGTGGTCAAAATGCAGTAGGAAATACATTACTGAGTTTCTGGAGTAAGGCCTTGCATATGCATGAGTTAGGCTGTTTTTACGTGTGCATGCATCCCATGGGGTTCCTTGGTTAATCTGAAGTCCTAGTGTGCAGCGTTTGGAGGAAATCACAGGGATTTGTGTGTGCACACATCCTTTATATAGAGCAGGAATGCACCCCTGCTATCCAGTCCCTGCCAGTTCAGCCTCATGATAAGCTGGCAAGGACCGGCGTCTCTATGGGGAAGAATGTCTAACCCCATGGATATTGCTTTTAAGGAATGCACGTTCTCCTCGAACCTGAAGAGTGAGTTTTTCAAGCCCTGTGGCCCAGATACAGAGCTGTGTTTTAGGAGGCAGATTGCATCTGCCTTTCTGCTCCAGAGGTCAAGATAAAGCCCTGGCACTAACCTGTGGTGGGAACACCATTCCAGGAGCCCACGGGTTAGTTTGATATGCACAGTGATTACCCATTTTGCTCCGAAGCCTTCCCCTGTGTTGTGATGGGGAACAGAACGAGAGCCATGGTGGCAATTCCAGGAGCTGAGTCCCTTGGGCAGTTCTGCTAATCAGTGATATTCTTTCTAAATAGTACCAGCACTTGCTTAGCCACTAAATACAGGTTGTGCACTCAGATATGCTTTGCCAGGATAGCTGACTGCAAGGTGGTGGATGGTTGTTGGCACAACACGGTGGTGGTGGTGATAAATGGGTGATGCACCCTCCTGTGCTTGAGCCTGCAGTAGCTGTTGTAGTGCTTGTTAAATATGGCAAATGTGGTGTGCATCTGCCCTAAGGTTAACTCAGGTAAGCAGCAAGGGGTTCTGTTCTCATGGCCTCTTGTTTAACACTGTTTATCTGATTTGTGTTGTAGCACTGGCTATGGGGAGTGTTTGCTTGATGAGCCTTCATCAAGAACGTACGCATTGCCTCAGCAGCTTCCGGGGCTGATTTATGATGTCAACAAACAGTGTGAGTTAATTTTTGGACCTGGATCTCAAGTGTGCCCATACATGGTAAGTGGAATTCCACCCTGATGTTGCCAGAGCAAAATAAGGCCTCCTGGGGTTGGGTGAATCATAGATTCTTAGACTCATATGGGTTGGAAAAGACCTTTAAGATCATCAAGTCCAACCTTTACCCCAGGACTGCCAAGTCCATCACTAAACCATGTCATAAGGGCCACATCTACATGTTTCTTTAAACAGTTCCAGGGATGGTGGCTTGGCCACTTCTCTGGGCAGCCTGTTCAATACCTTCACCCTTTTGGTGAAGAACTTTTTCCTAATATCCAGTCTAAAAATGGGAAGTTCACAAGCCATCAAATTACTGTCAAGCTTGTGAGTTAATGATAAATGCTAGGGGGATAATTTCATAAAAGGTCAGATATCTGGTAAGGTACATGGCACATATTTAATACTTCCATCTTTTTAATACCTGAAGCAGATGCAGTGTCGGCGACTTTGGTGTATCAACATTGATGGTGCACACAAGGGATGTCGTACCCAGCACACACCTTGGGCTGACGGGACAGAATGTGAGCCTGGAAAGGTCTGTAGTAACTGGTGGTTACAGCTTTGTAACTGTTTCCTAGGGCTTAGGCTAAGCATATCAGTCCAAACCATCCTATCCCAGTGATCAGTTGTATGGGGAACAGCTACTGATGGCAGCGGTGAGAGCCCAAAGCATCTTGTTGAGTTTTACGTCTGGTGTGCATGGGTCAGCTCTACCCCAGGTAACGTGATTAACATCGACTGCTTGGCATAACGTTGTTTAAAGCAGGTATTCCTTCTGGAGTGCTTATCTTTTTCAATTAATGCCCTTGAGTGAACTCTTGAGCAAAACCTTTGCAAAGCTTCCCTAGGCTTTTATTAGAAATTTCCTATACGGTGTGAGCAATTAGTAATTTTGTGTAACATAAACTGGCCAACTGGTATCATAGCTTGACAATATCAGAGTAAAATATGGAACTGATTGACATTTTCTACATGGAACATTTTTGGCAATAATTCATAGAAACTTTCAATTTCCATGTGCAATGTTAGTTTCCAGCTAGCATTGTGGTTTCTAGGATAACTATTTAGTATTTAGTTTTCCAGATCTGGAGAAAAATAGTTGAAGATTTTTCTTCTTCTTTTATTGAGATACTGAACCTTTTGGTGAAAAATGATAACTAGTTTTCATCATTTGTTTCTGAATAAAAGTATTCTCTGTGTGGATCTAATAAAAAAACCAAGATGTTATTCTACAATTTATAACTTAAAAATTTGCTTTTCAGGCTGTTGATGATCAGTTACAGTTTTCCTTTAGAGTCAACATTTTAATTCATAGCCTTTCGAATGTATGTTTGGGTTTGTTGTTGAGGGATGTGGTTGGAAATCCTATTTGTGTGCTACTCCTTGGAGCCAACTGTACACCAATGTTTAAAGTTTTATGTAAAACCTGTGCTGGTTTGAGACTAAGGATAAAGGGAAGGCAACTGTGGCATCCCTGTGACATGAGACCTTGTGCCTTCAGCACCTCCATTGGTGACCTTGTGGTTGCTGGAAGCTCAGAAATAACTTACTTTCTTGAAATTCCAAAATTGGGGTCGCAATTTTGTTCTGACAAACCTGCAGTTACCCTGGGACATGACCAGTGATGTGCAACCAGCTGCAATTGGGCAGATTAGCACCTCCTCAGAGTTACCCTGTCATGCAAGAGGCAGTGTCCAGCTGCATGGCTTTTAATAAAGACTGTGTAAGCGAAAACATTTCAGCCCATAAATTTAGACAATTTAACAAGTCTAGACAAATTAGACAAGTGTGACCTGAACTTCTCGGCTGAGAGCAGATGGGCTCTTAAGAAGAGCTAATGCAGGCCACTCGTGTTCAGGCATTTGAATGCGTTCTCATAAAAAGGCTTTATGGAGTAATTCTTTTATCTGTGTGTTGGTCTAATTCAAGCTTAAGTTTTGGATCATCATATGGCATCTCCTTAGTGTTTACTTGGGCTTGTAAAGTGTTGTGGTGCGACTCTCTCCTGGTTATCGGGGTTGTTTAAAGAATGATTAAATAAAAGTATATGAATAGTAATCATTTCTGTCTTCTGCTGTATGGCAGCAGGTAGCATATATGTTATGCATGCATGGAGCTCCACAGTACTTGTCTGCCCCCTGCTAATCTATTCAGCCAAAGTCAGCCCAAGGATGGGAGCTGGATGTGGTGAATTATCTGGGACTCCAGTGGCAAGACAAAGGGAAGGAAAGCCTGTTGTACTATCTCCCATCCCTGCCATTGCTCTCCTGCTCAACTGTGTGTCTAAGTTGTTTTGAATTTGCTCCAGACAAAAATTCTTTCATGCTCTGCTCTGGAAGCTCATAGGAAGGAGAACCCTGGCAGGCTTCATAGCTTTTCTGTTGTAACTCAACAGAAAGTATTTTTAAAACACAAAAGGCATGAAGATTGTGCAGCCAGACTATTCACATTGTGCTTCCAAGAAACACCATTGCATTTCCCTAAGATAATCTTGCTGTTTATTTAAAACAGCTGCTCCTTTGGGGTTTTTTCTCCTCCCTGATTTACCATCAACTACAAACTCCAAATTTTTAATCAAATGAAGGTGGTTTCCTGGTTAATTCTCAACCAGGATGGGAGACATACAGGTCATGTCACAGGTTAGCTGTGCTCATTCACTAGTTAGCTATTCAGTCATCTTCTCTGGGTCAGTGGTGCCAAGCATGATTGTGGTTATATATTTAGCTGGGAGCATCAATATTGCTGCGAGCTCTCCTCCACTGGGACAGCACTGTTGAATTGGTGTCATATATTTTTGTACGTTGATGATAGCTGTTGGACCTCTTTGTCCCTGTACAGGACTGGCATAGGGGTCCCAGCGTGCATTTTTTCAGCCCTCTAAATGCCAGAAGTTATGCATCATAAACATTTGTCCTGCAGCAGCGAAACAGGCATTTCAGCTTGTTTTATTCCTGTCCTTTACTGTGGCAGAGATTTTTTAGCCAGTTTCTATTTGGGGACTCATATTTTCAGATGAAAGCAAATCTAGGGCACATTGCAGATTTAGAGACTATGCTCATCCCTCAGCAAATGCCACGTTTAGGGTGCAAGCTATGAGTTGCTCAGCTGTCCTGCAAATGAATAGGCCTTTGCTTTCTTCATCAGCAAAGCAATGTGACGAGCTGGTCATCATGAGCAAAAGGTGTTAAATGTGCTGCAGAGCCAGTGTCCTATGGGCTGGATGCACAACTTTCAGCATAGCTTCATTTTACTCTGTTTTGCTAGATAGACTTCTCCAAGGTGGTTCATGAGGATGTCTAAAAAAAGGGAGATGAGCTCATGGTGTATCCTGACTCAACCTTGTTCCACTGTTAGTGAAGGAGCTGGAGAAATGCAGTACATGAGTAAATTCAACCCATTCCCATAAAGATCATTGGGTGTTTTCCTGCCTGAACAACCTCTGGTGCAGAGAAATATTGCAAGCAAATATTTTAATGAGGCACTACGTGTTTTCTTCTTTAAGTCTGTAAATTCTTCTAATCTGTGAGCAATCAGCAATGTTTGGGCTTTCTATAATTGCAAAGATTTAGACATCCACAGGCAGATGATCACGCCTCTGGGTTTAAATCTGCTGTAGCAAGCACTGTTCAGTAGGAGAGAAGCCCTACTCTCTTGGTCTTGGGGACACCTTTCCATCTACTCTTGTGGGGCCAGAAGGTAACTCTCTCCTAGATCTCACCTCTCCAGAAGTCTGTGTAGTTGAAATAGCAAACACACCCCAAATGGACACAATTTATACCATAAAAATGAGGAACAGGGGCTTGCCAGAATAATTTAAGCCAGTTTTCCAAACAAAACAAGAATTATAACTGGAAAACAAAAGTCTAGGCCAGGCCTTGGCAAATCCCATGTTATAGCTGAGTGAAGAAAAAAAAAACAAACAAACAACTTTGGATTGAGGAATTCATTTTTCTGTTTCTTTGCCCTTTGGATTTGGAAGCTTCCTTTCCACTTTGTGGGGAGGCTTGAGTTTTCCCTGGTGTTTTATTCCCATTGCCTGTCTCCTTCCCTGACACAATGCCATTCCTACTGCTCTCCAGGAAATCAGATAAGCAGTGCTGCAAGCGCTGCCGTGTTGTTCAGCACCGGTCAACAGGGAATATTCAGTGGTTACTGTTGTCCTCGGTCTTCTTCCCATAAATCACTCCCGTGGACTCAGCACCTTGCCTTCACTTCTCCATTTAAGGGTGTAGAGAAACTAAAATATGGAGGAGATAGACAAAAAGTAAAGTTCTGTTATATTTGATTGCAAAATCTTTGCTGCATGATGCATGTGGTTGTCAAAGAAGTAAACCTGAGTCTTGTCACCCAGGCTGGTCACTGTCAGTCGGTTCATAATGCCAAAGCAATGCAATCCCACCTTTCCCATCTCTTCCCTTCGCACGCAGCACTGCCGGTTTGGGATGTGTGTGCCCAAAGAGCGTGAGACACCAGTGATAGATGGAGCATGGGGGACGTGGAGCCCTTTTGGGACCTGCTCGAGAACCTGTGGTGGTGGCATAAAGACAGCGATACGGGAGTGCAACAGGCCTGAGTAAGTGTATGGAGCTACGGGAAGCACTGGGGGGTAAAGTTGGGAAAAGCAGCTGGGTTGCCCAGATGGGCTGAAAACCCCTTTGGTTGCTCCCAGCCCATGGGTACTTTGCCTGGCATGGACAAGGCATCATAAGAACCAAGGGGCCGCATCAAAAGCAGCGTGACCAGCAGGTCGAAGGAGGTGATCCTGCCCCTCTACTCTGCTCTTGTGAGACCTCACCTGGAGAATTGTGTGCAGTTCTGGTGTCCTCAACATAAAAAGGACATGGAACTGTTGGAACAAGTCCAGAGGAGGCCACAAGGATGATCAGGGGACTGGAGCACCTCCGGTATGAAGACAGGCTGAGAACATCAGGGCTTTTCAGCCTGGAGAAGAGAAGGCTGCGTGGAGACCTCATAGCAGCCTTCCAGTATCTGAAGGGGGCCTATAGGGATGCTGGGAGGAACTCTTCATTATGGACTGGAGTGATAGGATAAGGGATAATGGGTTAAAATTTAAACAGGGGAAGTTTAGATTGGATATAAGGAGGAAATTCTCTACTGTTAGGGTGGTGAGGCACTGGAATGGGTTGCCCAGGGAAATTGTGAATGCTCCATCCCTGGCAGTGTTCAAGGTCAGGTTGGACAGAGCCTTGGGTGGCATGGTTTAGTGTGAGGTGTCCCTGCCCATGGCAGGGGGGTTGGAACTAGATGATCTTAAGGTCCTTTCCAACCCTAACTATTTTATGATTCTAAGGAGGAGCCATTCATAGATTTGGTTTATGGGTAAAGTGCACTAAAAAGGGATCCATTCTAAGGAGAAGGAAGAAAAAAGCTAATATCTGTGTGGGTTTCATGCCTCCTGTTTTCCTGGGGGAGCACAACCAGAGTACCACTTCCAAAGGTATTTTTCTTTCTCCAAAGTTATGGATCAGAAAAGATGGAGAAGGGAAGGAGCCATGGTTTTATCCATTTTTCACCATTTTTCAGCTGTTTCTACAGACCACTTTCTACAGTTTTCTACCATTTCACTCCTGCTTTGGCTGGATTTGCAGCTTTTGGCTGCTTTTGCAGCTGATCCTTTATACAGTTATATGTCATCTGGTGCAGACTAGCCAAAACTCAGCAGAAACCTGTGCCCCGTTAAAAAGTGGCACTCAGAAATGATTGCCATCAGACTGGAGTGCAAAATCCTGCTCCCTTTGAAATGGCAGGGATTTTTGCCATGGGCTTCAGGGAAACAAATGCATGGCCAGCAAAACACTATTAATAGGTTGAGCAACTGTTACGAAAACACCTTGTTTACATAAATAGTGAACTGTGCTGGTGTTTGTTTAACTGCCTCTGTTCAGCCCACAAGAGCAAGAAGGGCTGGGCTGGTTGCTTTCTGGGGTTTCAGACATGGAGACGCGAGTGGTCAGTAGAGCTGGTCAGACTGAGGGGTTTTAAAACGAATGAGCAGGCTCGTTCCTCCTTCTCATCATTGGTGTTGAACAGCTTACTGCAAAGGAAACTGTTATCAGTGATGTGCCAGTGACAGTTCCATCACTGCTAATGGGAGAAGGGAGTGCTTGTAGCTGCAGCACCAGTGGTGAAGTGACAGAAGAGACTGGCTCAGCACAGCTGGCCAAGTGGTGGAGGAGAAGGGCTGAGGTTAAGGGAGTAGGACAGCAGCACATTAAGTAACATGATGCTGAGAAGCACATGAGTGCAAAGGAGTTGTCATCTTGCTGTGCTGAGTCAGTGCACGCCATATGGTCTTCAGTAGCCATGAAGAGACAAAACTAACATGTTTTTCCACACACAAAACCAGCTATGCTATGCAGACAAACCTTTGGATGCTGTCAGTGAGATGCATCCCTCTCTTCTGGAGAGGCATCTGTTTGGATTGATAGCTTTTTGTGGTAGAAAATCTCCTTTATCCTAAAGGGATTTTGAATTCCATCTTCTCTTACAGCTAGTGTTTTGTATCTTGGTGTGTCATGAGGCAGATTGCTTTGGCTGGGATTTGCAAAAGCACCTAAATGCACTCAGCACCAAGCTGCCTGTGAAATCACATGTGGTCATCATTAATAGCAGTCATTTTCCAGGCCCCCTTTTGAGAGCTGTGTAGCTGGCAATGGCCACTTCTCCAGCCCCTCACAAAGCCTGTCCTAGCCCTGTCCACAGAGCTTTACACCGACTCTGCTGTTTTATCCCTGTAATTTGACATCGTAGCGTGGGCTCCCACCATCTGCGTCCCTGTTATCAAAGGACTGCTGAGACAATGCCAGTGATGAGACACTGCTGGGTATTTGCCTGCCTTTCCTGCTTATCAAAGTACTTCAACCATTACACAGCGTTTCTCCTCTATATAGAATGCAGCAAACCCAGCCCAGATACCTTGAGTAAGGTCTGAAATAGTGTTCAATAAGTCTTTTGTATTCAAAGATGATTTAGCTTTTTAAAGTGTTTTCTGTGCACAAGGATCAGGGGAGGGATCTTGCATGCCAATAAAATACTTGTTAAACCTGGCATTGAAAATGACACAAAATAAAGCTGCAGCTCTTTAATGTGCTCTGACATCTATGCAGACAAGTATCTTGCAGGGCTGTAGGAAGAGCTGTAAGCCTCCGAAATGGCAGCAGACTGTTGACATACACTGAAGGAATGCATTTGCTAACCAGACCAGACTTTTCCCACCAAGATTGCCCTCTTGGGAGTTTGAGACTGGCTGGTACAGACAAAGCCTACGGCTGTGGGGCATCACATTAGAGGGTCTGTGGTGCAAGCCCTGGTTTTCAAAGCAAGGCTTAGCTGCAGAAGTATGGGGAAAAGGCATATTTCATAAGATATCAATACCGGGAGCCTTGTTTTCAGGAATGGCTTTCTGGATGGGGGACTGTTGTCTCTGGATGTGAGTCAGATCATGTCTGCCTTTTAGTCCATCACGGAAGTATCCACCTGTGCTGAAAGCTGTCTAAGCTCAACATGTAAAATGTAAATACATCTATAGGTAACTATGCTGGTCACTGGCAGCACATGTACCAATTCCCTGTCCCAGTGCTTCCCAGGATGATGCAAGAGATCTCAGACTGATGTGTGCACACTAGAGCTTCACAGGTTTTTCGGAAGAGGCACATAGGCAGATGTGCAGATGAGCAGAAATGCTCTGCAAAATGCTCCAAGGGCATTTTGTGACAGCCTGGGTGTCCCCTACAGAGCTGCTGCCTGTGGGGCTGAGCATGCCCAAAGGATCCCCAAAAGAGTGCTTCTTGGTGAGGAGCCTGTACCTGGTGCTCCTGGATAGCTAAGAGTTGGGTGCTGCCTTAAGGTCTGCAGATTAAAATACTCAATATTAGTAATTGCAGATGATGCATTAAGCATCAGGTTGCCCAGAGAAGCTGTGGCTGCTCCGTCCCTGGCAGTGTTCAAGGCCAGGTTGGACACAGGGGCTTGGAGCAGCCTCCTGTAGTGGAAGGTGTCCTTGCCCGTGGCAGAGGGTTGGAGCTGGGTGGGCTTTAAGGTCCCTTCCAACCAAAACCATTCTATGATAAAGATATTATATGGTGGGAAGTATCCATATTTCCTCATGACACTGAAAATTGATATTATATGAGGCTGACTTCCTTTGAGAGTCAGCTCTTACTCAGACTCTGGGAAACGCAATTCTGCTTTTAAAAGACCCTAAAGCTCTCAGGGTGCTTTGGGGCTGTTTTGCAGTGTGGGCAGTGTGAGTGTGCTTCAGCCCCAGACACTGGCTGTGGGGAAATCTACTGCCACAGTTAGGAAGCAGACAGTTTGCAGTATGATGGCAATATTTAGCATCCTTTGGTTTGTGGTGTGTCCATGTGTTCAATGTTATCTCAATCCTATGGGCCATGTAGAGAAAAGGAAACGATAAGGTAGCTTGGAATCTTTGGATTTTGTTAGACTTACCCTTTAAAAAGCTCTTTATGTTCTTCTTAACTAACTTACTATTTAAAAGTTTCATTTTTGTTAACTTGATCTATATTGGAAGCAATGTGAGTACCATAAAAATGTTGTGATTGCAGCTTTTTTAATGAAATGCACTGCCAGAAGTTTGTGTAATTTAAAGCATGCAATAGTCCTGGGCTGTGCCTAAAGACAAATCCTACCCCTCTGCATTTAGGGTAGGCCTTAAAGGGTCTGCACCATGGCAGTGTGTTAGTGAGGAGAGGATGCTGGCAGGAAGAATCCCATTTGTGTAGCAGGTGATGCTCTGCATCTCACCTGCTGCCAGGATCAAAGAGTGGTTTGGGTTGGAAGGGACGTTAAAGATCTAGTTCTAACTAGAAATTGTAGGTTTAGTGGCTATTTTGCAGCAGAGGCTGGAGCTGAGCCAGATGTTGTCCTGAGCTTCGAGGGCCACTCTCTGCCTCTGTATATGTGCCCCGCAGTTAGGGCACAGTGGTTTGGGATGCTTGGGATGCTTTTGCTCTCCATTGACTCCTCTGAAACTGTCTACTAAAGGGTGAGGGTCTCACATCAGCAGGTGGAGACTTTCCCATGCCAATGGCTGAGGAGCATCTTAACTTCATCTCCCTTGAGCGCATGTTGTATCTCATGTAATTTTTCCTTTCTGGATAATTACAGTTTTGCCCAAGCTGACCCTGGCAACATGTCATCCAGATGGCAGTATCTTTCCTTCGTATCATACGGGAAAAGCAGAGCTGCCTGGGTGGTACTGCATGTTGATGGAGGTAGCTTGTAGAAGCCTTCAGCATGCCCTCACAATGTCATTTAAAGTTTCAGGAGAGAGCAGTAGAGAAGGCGGAGGAGTTTTGGAACATTTAAAGCATGGTGCATCCTTTTTTATCTTATTGTTGCAATTCATTATATACATAGAAGGCTGCACTTAGTCCGAACATATGAAATGTCCTTTGAACAGACAGTAAGCAGCTTTTATCCCAAGGGTACTTTCCTTGAAGTGAGGTGAAAGGTACTAGAGGTGAAAATGGGTCCTCACCAGAAAAGTGCCTTCTGCTGAGCAACTCTGATGCCATCCACATGCAGCTCACTCCCACACTGCTGACAGGGGCTGGAGTGGGAGAGGCTTTTTCAGTCCCTGAAGTGAGCTGTTATCTGGTAAAGGCTCCATCTACATATGAGGACAAAAATAGCTTTAGGACTACAGCCCTGAATCTGGGAGTTGCAAAATTCAAAGACTCTTCTCCTTTCTGCTGTGGTGTGTAGTTATTTGCAACCCACTAGATCAGGCAAACCCTCAGCCATCAAATTCATAGGATCAGTGGGGTTGTGGGGGGATGATCCCATACGGGATCCCTCAGTGTGAAACTACATCCTCAGATGGGGAGGAAGATGTTGCTCTTCCTCTTTGGCTTCTCTCAGTATCACTTTTTTTGGCAGAGAGCAATTATTCCCATTTTCATCCCCTTTTAGCATTGCATATATGGTCTTTTTTATTAGGCACCTACCTAATCTTTCCTGCTTGTCAGTCTGGCATATTAAAGACATACACAGGGACAGAGCCCAGAACAGTGTCACAAATCCTGGCTGTCCTGAATAGGATGCAGAATTGGAGCTTGCATCTCATTTCCAGCCTGATTTTGTTTCTGTAGGCCTAAAAACGGTGGGAAATACTGCGTGGGGCGCCGCATGAAGTTTAAATCCTGCAACACCGAACCATGCTCAAAGCTGAAGAAGGATTTCCGGGATGAGCAGTGTGCTGACTTTGATGGGAAGCACTTTAACATCAACGGGCTGCCCACGAACGTGCGCTGGGTTCCCAAATACAGCGGCAGTAAGTGGCAGGGGTGATGCAGATCCTGTCTTCTGGATTGCATAATCGGGGTGATGGTGTTTAGATAGCGTGCTTCTGGTTTTCCTCTCTCCTGTCCCCAGTTCTAATGAAGGATCGGTGCAAGCTGTTCTGCAGAGTGGCAGGAAATACGGCTTATTACCAGCTGCGGGATCGAGTTATTGATGGGACACCCTGCGGCCCCGACACCAATGATATCTGTGTGCAGGGCCTTTGCCGGGTAAGTATTTTTCCTCCTCTTCAGCAAAGGGTGATTGCAGCTTTGCACATCAGGCTGGTGCTTCTGCCCCTTGCTCTACCCGGTTGTTGGCATGCCCTCTTCATTTAGGTTGTAAAGACCTTTGAGTCCAACTGTAACCTAACACTGCCAAGTTCACTATTAAACCATGTCCCCAAGTGCCACATCTGTACATCTTTTAAGTACCTTCAGGCATGGTGCTGCCACCACTGCCCTGGGCAGCCTGCTCCAATGCTTGACAACCTAATACCCAATCTAAACCACTCCTGGAACAATTTGAGGCCATTTCCTCTTGTCCTATCACTTGTTAGTTGGAGAAGAGACCAAGTCCCACCTCACTCCATCCTCCTTTCAGGTCGCAGTAGGGAGCAATAACGTCCCCCTGAGCCTCCTTTTCTCCAGACTAAACAACCCTGGTTCCCTGAGCTCCTCCCCACAGAGTTGTTCTCCAGACCCTTCACCAGCTTCGTAGCTCTTCTTTGGACACACTCAAGTGGAGGAAGTTTGTACATCTGCCCTAAGTTACTGAGGGCTGTGGAGGTCTAAGCCTGAATCCAAATGATGCTTCCTTCTGTGCCCTGCCCTGGTTCTTCCCGGTCAGACCCCAGAGCACTTTACATTTCCATTCACAATTATTTTTCACACTTTTCTGTATGGAAACAATTGATGGAGGAAGTTTTCTTTAGTGAAGGCATCGCCTGGTGCAAATGGCAGCTCTGATTCTTGCTTTGTAAGGAAGCCTTTTGTTTGGAAATGGTGTGGGATGGCCACACTATAATTCAGCAGAAAAATGTGGGGAAGCAAAACAATTTGTCTCACAGCAGCCTTTTGCATACACAGCTTTTGTGTGCCTTAATTGGGAGGTTTGTAAATGCTGTTCTAGTCTGTATTTGCTCAATCTAGTTTTTTCAATGTCTCTCTTAAAGCAAGCTGGATGCGATCATGTGCTGAATTCAAAAGCGAGAAGAGATAAATGTGGTGTTTGTGGTGGGGATAATTCTTCATGCAAAACTGTTGCAGGCACATTTAACACGGTGCATTATGGTAAGAATCTGTTGCTAAAAACTTTATAGTGAAAAATGCAGGTCTATAAAAGCCATTACCACACTTAATCTACAAAAAATACTGATGTAAAATGCAAAACCCTTCTAGCTATAGTATATTCTATTTTATAACTATTTATGCTATCCCTAAATGAAAAGTATCAGCTTGTGTAATGTGAGGTAATTTTGCTCATTTCCCTTCCCCCTGTAAAAAGCAAATGAAATGTCTGTGTAACAGCCTTGGCTTTTTGTTAAATCTTTTCTAGGCTATAATGTTGTGGTCCGCATCCCAGCTGGTGCAACCAATATTGATGTGCATCAGCACAGTTACTCAGGGAAGCCAGAGGATGACAACTACCTGGGTGAGTTGCAGTCCCTGTTTCAGTCCAGAAATCTGCTTTATTATCTGGTTGTGGCGATACATCTACTGGTGATCTCTGCAAGACAGGGTGAAGAATTCATTTAAAGGAAATGTTTTCTTATTGAGAATTTCTTGTATGTTTACAAAACACTCAGCCTTGTCTTGTTCCTTCTTTCTGTGCGTGCCATCCTTGATGGAAAGTCTGGGAGGTTCACATTAGAAGAAATACCCCATTATAGCACCTCTGGAACTGGAGGGACTATTGAGCCTGGGTGGGAGTGGCAGCTGAGGCACAAAGCTGGGACCAAACAGACTTCCAAGTTCTGCTGGAGCCTCCTCACCACAACTTAACTCCTCTCTGCTTTCACTGTGCCTTGGCTTGAGACTAAATATGGCATACCCTGAAAGACATGTGTACAAACAAATTCAAAGGGAATTGTTTGCTATTCATCTGAGAATAATAATTCTGATTTCACTTAAACTGAGCCCTTCTTTTCCCTGCCTGACAGCAATCCATAAATGTAAAGAAACACCCTGCACCAAAGATATTGGCTTGATTTAAACCCAACAAATAGCTTGGCTTTTGGCTGTTGGACATTGGTAGTCACTGTTACCTCTGGGTATGTCTGTAGAGGCAGATGAAAATGCTTGGAGTGCTGTGTTAAACCAATCTGCAGCATACACATATGGCATATGCCAAGTGCTCGCTGTAAATGGGGATGTTAAAAATGGGACTAGGTTGATGGTTTCTAGCCCATTGAAGGTAAAGGAACTCACTTGAGAAACGACTAGGGGACACTATTGTGCATCAAAGAGAAACAGTGCTTACAGCTTTGGCTGTCTGAAACACTGTCCATGTGGCTGGACCCTTCATTCAGTCCGAAAGCTGAGTGGGTCCTTTGTGTCCTCATTCCCAGACTGGGGTCATAAAATCATAGACTGGTTTGGAAGGGACCTTAAAGCTCATCTAGTTCCAGCCCCCTGCCACAGACGGGGGCACCTTCCACTAGAGCAGGTCACTTGCATGCTCATAGCCTCACTGCATCGTTTTGAACATTCACAGCAATGAGAGATGGTGCAGGATGAATGCACATCAGTACCAAGAAAACCTTATTGAGGTGTGATAGTTTTCCATCCTGGGGGAGGGAGGTGTGTTTTATTCCTGTTGTCTAGAAAAAGCATTCCTCCCCATGTTGTGCCGATTCCAACTTGTTCACCCCAGAAGGAGCCCCAGAGAACTTTTCAGTTCTTCTTGGAGGGCCTTTAATCTTCTTGGGAAGCAATGAAGTCAAATCTTCTTTAATGTTGCTTTAATATTGCTGGGAAACCATCTCTTCATATTAGGCCTGACTAGAAGCAAATGAGAAGTGTGCATGTGTTCACTTATTTTGAAGCTCACTGAGTGTGAAATCTTGGGCCCACAGTACTGAGAACCTTGTAGTTGCTTAACAATTTAGGAGGAATTTGATGTTGTCATCAAGTCCAAGACGTGTACCTACTGTTGTAGGAGATACAGTAAACAGGAAGGACTCCTTTAATGAGTTTTACTACTGCCTAATGACATTAGAGCCTCCAAAGCATGGAATTTGGTTGAGTGTAGTGCCTGCTTTATGAGCTTTCCTCCATCTATGTCTGTTTGCTACAGAGCACTGTTTTGCTTCATTATCTCCCCTCATTCAGTGTACAACCCTTCCCTTTGGTGTTTTGGTGTTAAGTTTGGATTTTTCAGTACAGAGTCTTTGTAGTAATGTAGCTGTGATGGGTGAAATGGTGGGGAAACTAACTTAGGAAATTAGCTACATAATCGCATTAGTGTGAAGCTGTGCAGCAGACTGCTGTTTTCAGGAAACTGTTCCTTTTATAAAGCATTTAGGCTTTAAGCCTTCATTGCTTTCACATACCTTAAGATTTGGAATAATAAAAAGTACAGAGGGAGGAGGGAGAGGGGGAGATACTGACCAAACTCCCTATAATTGCCTACTAGAAAATGACATTTGGGCAATTAGGGTTACATACATTTACCCTAAGAACACACCTGGAAACAACAGGGAAGCCACCCTATCCACACAGCTAACAAGACGTTTTGGGCAGGATTATTTCTGCAGAATATGAGTAGATACAGACAGTGTGTGCTGTGTACAGCAGCCAGCCCCACAGGCCTTTTGGGTATCTCTCTGCCCTGGGTTATTGGTCAACTAGTTAGAAATAACTTCAAGCTTTCAGCCTCGGTTTTAATGAGTATTTTCAGTGGAAGAAGGACACAAGGTCTGTAAGAGCTCTGCTGCTCTGTTTACATCCTTTCTGTCTGAGAGTGCCAGTGGGCTTTTCCTCTCACTCAAATGAAAAGGAGCACTGAGAGCGCATGATCCATGTTATTACGTACGTATGAGTTAATTCTGCCTCTTTAGTTCTTGTTTTTTGCACCTATGCAGCCTTATCTAACAGTCAAGGAGACTTTATATTAAATGGAGACTTTGTCGTCAGTATGTTTAAAAGGGAAATCAAAGTTGGGAATGCTGTGATTGAATACAGCGGATCGGATAATACTATTGAAAGGATTAATTCTACAGATCGGATTGAGCAAGAAATAACGCTTCAGGTGAAGTATATGTTGTGTGTGGAGAAGTCTGCCCAGCATTAATGGACTGAAAAGAGCGGGCAGCAAAGTCTCTTCATTTATCTGCTTCATCTTTTTTCCTCTCAGGTTTTATCAGTGGGCAATTTGTACAATCCTGACGTTCGTTACACGTTTAATATCCCCATTGAGGACAAACCTCAGCAGTTTTACTGGAATGCATACGGCCCATGGCAGCCCTGCAGTAAACTCTGCCAAGGTGGGTGCTTGGGAAGGCTGTTTTGTCCTGGATTTGTCTGGTATCTGAGCAGTGCTGTCAAATCCCTCTCTGTTTGATTTCTTTGAGATTCTCACATTATGGGTGCAATTGTTTCCCTGTAGTAGTAGATAATATTGTACAAGGCCTTGTAGCACTGCTTTGCTGCTTCTTGGTTTCAGAGCAGGGCATGTTTACAGCCCCTCTGAGCTAGGTGAGCCTGGCAACCTTGTTTGCACTTGAGTAAGATCAAACACAGGAGAAGTTATGTGGCATTTCCTAAGGCAGCAAAGGGCATCAGGGTCTGGTCTGGGGTCTGACATCCAGTTGTTGCCCCCTGCCAGTGCTGACTCTGCTAAACACACAGCGCCCATCCTTGCCCTTGCATCATCTTATCTGTGTTAACCCCCTTCTGCTCTTCTTATAATCTTAACCCCCTCCCTGTTTCTGAAAGAGATTTAAATGCATAATTAAATATCTCTTAAGTGCTGCTATAGAAGGACTAAGAGAAATAACTGATTTGATTGCTTTCCTGTAAGACTCAAACAATGTGCCCTTTTTTCTGTGTAGGAGAGCGAAAGAGGAAACCCGTGTGTACAAGAGAGTCAGATCAGCTCACGGTGTCGGACCAGCGATGCGATCGAATTCCCCAGCCTGACCCCATCACGGAGCCTTGTAGCACAGAATGTGAATTAAGGTGCACTCCACTCGTCTGTGTCTATACATATACGTCATACATTTACTGTTGTTTACTCCTCTTCCCTTTTTCCTCTCACCAGAATTCCTTTTCTTACCAGTCTGTATTAGATCTAGAAGAAAAAGAAAAGGATTAGTAGGGATTGACATCCACCAGCTGTGTTTTGAGAGGCACTTTTCTACATTTTCACATTTCTCTTGTTGGATTAATCAGTGCTATCTATAAAAAAGAAGAAAGAAAAATCACCTAGTATTGAAAAATCTCCCTGTGCCTTGAAATTTGCATCTGCCTGAATCAGAAATACTCAGCACCATCCTCCAAACAGTCTGCAAAGAGGGAAAAACACATGTTCAAAGCAAAAGAGTAACTAAGACTTGGATTTATCACCATTTGCTGAAAGCAAAGATTAAGTGTGGTGCAGGTTTGGGGCTGTCCCCAGACAACTCCTGGAGAGCTGGAATTGATAGAGAATGGTCTAAATCATCCCAACCCATTTTCCTTTAGAAAGCAATCTGTTTTCCTTTCTGGAACTTAAATATGGTGACATTAAACGACTGCTGGTGAAGGAATTCAGATGGCCGTGTTTCCCAAGGGGTTTCTCTGTCTGTGTTCAAGCCTGGGCTCTGTATAGGGGCTCTACAGGGGCTGTAGGTCGGGTTGTCGAGGTAACAGCTGTTGCCATTGCAACAGGTTGGAAACTTGAGAAGGGTAAATGCAGGAGTTTGAAAGCAGGCAGGGATGTGAGGGGTCCCACTATTCAGGAGCTCTTGACTCCAAATCCCCTTGATCTTATTCTTTTCCTGGCTGTGCTGAAGTTTACTCTCTTGGCTTAAGAGCAAGGCTCTTTGCTCCACACAGGCTATCTCACCAGCCCAGGGGTGCCCAGCACCTCCTTTCCCAGGAGCCATCAACTCCTGTTGATTCCATGGTCTCCGACATCTCCCTGGATCAGGCCCCATGTCCAGCATCTCTTGTCAGAGATGATATGAAGCAGGGGTGAGGCCACCAGCACTATTCCCTGCTGTCCATCATTGGAAGGAGGTAGCAGGGTAGGAATCTGTGTGTCCACAGGGAAAATCTCTAATCCCCACTGACCCCTCTGGGGCTGGTGTGTCTTGGAGCAAGTCATTCACTCACACTTTGAGTAGCTGAAACTATTCTACAGGTATCCTGCCATGGGAAGTGCCTTTAGAGCCTGTGCAGATTTTATGATTCTGTATTATTCAGCTCTTAGTTTTTAGAGGCCAAGGTGGCACCCCTTCAAGGCACATGGGGTGGAAAGCCTTCAAAGCACTGCTCCTTTCTTGGCCACCTTGCATGGTCCCGCATGTTTGGTTTGCTGCCTGTGAGAGGGACCTGGTGACAGCTCCTTCTGCAAGGAGCAATGTCAGCATTGATTGTCTTAGAGTTTTGGAAGCCAGAAAGCATTGGGAAGTATTACAAAGAGCCAAAACTTCCAGTTCAAGGGTGTATATTCATTATTCATAGAATTGCAGAATGGTTTGGGTTGGAAAGGACCTTAAGATCATCCAGTTCCAAGCCACCTACTATGGGCAGTGACACCTCACACAAGACCATGTCACCCAAGACTCTGTCCAACCTGGACTTGAACACTGCCAGGGGTGGAGCATTCACCACTTCTTTGGGCAACCTGAGCCTAACCTTACTTGTATCAAACACCCTTTAGCACATTACGTGCAGGGTCCCAGAGCCCCACCACTGATGTTTGCTCTCCTCGGCTCAGGTGGCACATCGCGAGGAAGAGCGAGTGCACGGCCCAGTGTGGGCTGGGGTACCGCACCCTGGAGATCTACTGCTCCAAGTACATCAGGCTGGAGGGGAAGATAGAGAAGGTTGACGACCGGTTCTGCAGCAGCCAGCCCAAGCCCAGCACAAGGGAGAAGTGTACTGGAGACTGTAATGTGGGAGGGTGGCGGTATTCAGCCTGGACTGAGGTAAGAGATGCTCAGTGGTATGGTGAACACGGTCTCTTTCTTGTGCAGGGATGTGTCAGGCTGTTAAGTTTGCAAGCAGCATTTGTATAAGAGTTGGCTGCAGTGATTCTGCTTTCATTGCTTTTCCTGGAGGATGCTGTAGTTGAAATCGGTCTGGTACTCCTTATTTTCCTCAACTTATTTCCCTTATTACTCCTTATTTCCCTCAACTAATTTATGCCTTTAAGCATCCCAAGGTCTGCTTTCATTATGTTAAAGCTCTGCTGGCTGTCTTAGAATCCCAGACTGATTTGGGTTGGAAGGCACCTTGAAGCTCATCCAGTTCCAGCCCCCTGCTACAGGCAGGGGCACCTTTCACTAGACCAGGTTGCTCCAAGTCCTGTCCAGCCTGGCCTTGGACACTTCTCCCATGAAAGCCAGCACCACAGCCAGGAATGGGCAGGACATATTATCATCAGTAGAGAACTTCTGAAATTTCTATCCTTTATGGCTTTCAGCTTTTCCATAAACTGAGTGCGAGCCTGGCACCAAGAGAATAATGAGCCTGGGACTTTTCAGGGAGGGCACAGTGATGAGGTGGTTTTGGCTGGTTAGAGGGAATTAATCTCTCCTAAAATGAGGATGAGCAGCAACCATTTGGGAGAACTGAAAGGCAACGCTTGTAAAAGTAATAATGGGGTTATAACCCAGAATGAGTTTGTGAAACTCGTTGCCATGTGCTTTTATTAAGCTCATCAAGATTGACTTTTTAAAGGAATATATAGAGTAACAGCCTGTTACTTAAAGTACAAATTGTTCTTCCAGAGCTTTTCTGCGGTCTCTTCACAGTCTTGACTGCAAAGGGGGTGAAGGCCATAAACATGCTCTCAGCCCATAATAGCGTGGCAGAAAGTATTTACTCAGTGTCTCTCCTTCCCAGTGCTCCAAGAGCTGTGGTGGGGGCACGCGGCGGCGGCGAGCCATGTGTGTGAACACCTACAATGATGTCCTGGATGACAGCAAATGCAGTCAGCAGGAGAAGCTGACAGTGCAGCGATGCAGTGACTTCTTGTGCCCCCAGTGGAAGACTGGCGACTGGTCCGAAGTAGGTGCTGGTCACCAGGGTGGGCTCACACTGAGGGGATGATGCATGCAAAGAGACATCTCTGTCCCTGCTCATCCATGGTATTTTGTTGTGCCCCAGGGCATGGTGGCACTGTGCCTCCTGCAGAAGGTCTCCCCAAGCCTGAACACAGGGAGGCTTGAGACAGGCAGCAAGGTCACTGATCAAGTGGCTGTTTCCCTCCCTGCCAAGCCACAGGGGTTAATTCCTCTCCAGTCCTGCAGTAATTTCTACCCAGTTTTTCCATGGTTTCTCCACATATCTGGGAAGAAAAATGCTCATTTTCCCTTGAGATTGTCCTCATGAGCCCTCGCAGCTCTGGCTGTCGCTGGAGGGCAGGATTTTGCCCTACTAATGTTTTGCTCAGCCTTCTGCCTGCTGTTTATTAGCGTTACTTCTTCCACTGCTGCTGGTGTCCTTTGCAATGCAGCAAAGCCACATCTTGATAGGCTTTTCTCTGCAGCAGGAGCTGGGATGCTGGTGAGCAGTCTTCAAAGGCTGCTTGTCACCTTCAGGCCAAATGGTTCTTGGTTCTGTGAATCACATTCTTTAAGAAAATAATGACAGCAATTGAGTGGGAACAGGGATTGTTCTCTGCAAAATATCTCTTCTGGGTCGAGCCGCCATCATCACAAGCACACGTGAGCTGAGGCCCTTGACATCCACACTCGAAACCCGAACAAGTCTTCTTGCAAGCCTTTGCCTCATGTTGTGCCCCACAGGGCAGTGCTGGGGCTTTGCTCCATGTCTCAATGCAGCTGGAAGTCAAGAGCCTTTGTGGTCTTGCTTTGCCTGTGCTGAAGGGTCCCAGCCTGGCTGTGCTCTCCATGCTCCAACCTCTGTGCTGGACCATCTCCTGAGAGCAATCCTGTCTCGATAAAAGATACTCACAAGTTTTTCAGTGCAGTGATTGCAGCTGGTCTCCAGGGCTAGGGCTGATGCTGAGCTGTTAGCTCATCCCCAGCACTGCTTGAACTTGTGCTTTCCTCATTGCAGTGCTTGGTGACCTGTGGAAAGGGGCACAAACACCGCCAGACCTGGTGCCAGTTCGGAGAAGATCGATTAAATGACAGATTTTGTGATCCTGAAACAAAGCCGGAGTCAGTGCATACATGCCAGCAGCAAGAGTGTGCTTCGTGGCAAGTGGGGCCATGGGGCCAGGTACCACGGGGTTCCCCAGACCATGGGACCAGGGTGCTGATGGCTGAGGCTGGGTACTATCCCTTCATCCAAAATCAAAGGCATTAACTGCATTAATTGACTTGCACAGCAAAGCAGCCCTCTGTTCGCTTGGGTTCAGCAGATGGGCAGCAGTAACAGTACCTGCCCTGTGTGCTAAATTTAATCTTTGTCATACTAAATTGGCCGTGATTGTTTAAAAAAAAGGGTTTCCAAGGTTACACTCTTAAATCCATATTTAAGCATGTAAATACATGGCCTAATTTTCACAGCAAAGCTGCTCCCTTTGAATAGCTTTTGTTGCTTTTAATGTTTTCCAGTTTCTGGGTTGTTGAGTGGTTTTTTCCCTGTTAGAATACAAGTCGCTCATTTCTCCCGGAGTGTTCTGGCATATCCTTTTCCACAAAGCTATTAGCTCTTGACTTAAAAACACAGCAACAAACCCAGACCAGTTGTCCCAGTAGGACTGATTTCCCATCAGCAATATTATTCATTAGCTGCTTGTGCTACCATGGGGCTGAACAACTGGTTTTAAAGGAGGATATGATGCAGGTTCTACCAGACTGTGATTTACTGTGTGCAGCAAAGTTAATCATTTAAATGCTCGCACATTCATTCCCAAGGAAGCAAGTGAAGCATGTGAGGCTCTAGTGGGCACAGCGAGTTAAAACTTTGACCTAATTTAAAGCTGAAATGCATGAAGTGGAGAGAAACCTGGAGGGAAGCTGCGTTTTGTTTTTGCTGCTTGTGCTGCGTGCCTAAACACAGGCTGGGCTGATTAATACTGCCTATTGGAAGCAGCTACTCAGACCCAGCACTTCTTTTGTCCTCTCTCAGTGCACGACAACTTGTGGCCAAGGCTACCAGATGAGAGCAGTGAAGTGTGTTGTGGGCACCTACATGTCAGTGGTGGATGATAATGAGTGTAATGCTGCAACCAGGCCAACAGATACCCAGGTAAATCCTGCCATCCTGGCTCCATCTTCTGACAGTGTGTGTATGGAGGTACTCCAGCTGCAGTTTCAGGGCTCTGAATGCCAGTCCATGCGGAGCAGTATATTGGTTTCCTATGCAGCCACTGAAAAGGTGTAGCACAGCAGTCTGTTATGGTAGAAATGGGACAGAGAAGCCATATTCAGGGGGTTCTATCCAGACCCTCTCCTAACGTGGTTAACCTTGCACTCTGAAACACCAGATTTCCAAAAAGATGACTTGTTGTGAGGGCATCAGGACTTTGTGGGACTTTGCTTATGGCTTGTATCCATGGAGCTCTAGTCATAGGATGGGTTGTGTGAGGGGCTGTGCAGATTCAGAGCTGAAGCTGGTCACTAAGAGCTTATGAGCTAAAGAAGCAGCAGAAGATGTACATGGGAAGAAAACCAGAGACCAGAAGGATAAAATGAGACAGGGCTTACCAGCCTCAGAGGTTGGGGTCTTAACACAGCAGACATCTCCTTTGGCTTGCATGGGGTGTGGGATGCCTGGCTGCAACCTAGGCTCCCTTGGCTGCGGGACTTCTGCTGTGTGGTACCAAATGATGGCCAGGGGCCATCATTTCTTGTCTGCTGCATGTGACAATATAATGTGCCAGCTACAGTTCCAGATACACCCTGTGGGCCAGTTGAATTGAGAGATGTTGCACCCACTGTAAATTTGCTGAAGAGACTTTTCCATGCTGTGTTCACTGGTACTTGGAAGCAAACATGTAAATTCCCATTTCAAGCAAAGAATGTGTCCAGGGTGTCTGAAGGAGTTGAATAAAACAGAAAATTACCATCTGTCTGTAATCTAGGAGAGTTGTAGTGCTGATGCCCTGCCCAGCTTTAGTCCTGTGTGACATATAGAATCATAGAGTCATAGAATAGTTTGGGTTGGAAAGGACTTTAAGATCATCCAGTTCCAACCCCCTGCCACAGGCAGGGACACCTTCCACTAGAGGAGGTTGCTCCAAGCCCAGTCCAACCTGGCCTTGAACACTGGCAGGGATGGGGCAGCCACAGCTTCTCTGGGCAACCTGTGCCAGCTCCTCAGCACCCTCATGGTAAGTTTGACTAGGGCCACAACATTTAGTAAAGGGCTCGTTTCGCTATGTCTGGAGATACTATAGTCAAGGGGTAACAAACCCACTTGTCATCAGCCATCATTTGGCATGCACATCTCCAGTGTAAGTAAAGTCACAGCAGTGCGGATATCATTGGTGCCATTTGTCCAGAGCTGCTTTCTCTCTCGTGGTGACAATCAGTATTAATTTCCCTTTTGGCAATGACTTACTCATAGGCTCATGGAGTGAAGTCATGGCTATTCACCATTTCTGTCACCAGACCTCCCAGGAGGCCCAGAGCCCTCCTGTCAGGCACTGTACCAAGGCTGAGCAGAAGGAAACAACCATCCCCAAAACCTTGCATGCTTAGTGTGTGATGAATGTGTGTATGGATATAGGTGGTCTGGTGGGCTGCAGGGAATCAAAGGGTCACAATCAGCTCAGTAGCTTAACCTTTATTAAGTGTGCTGCAGGTCTTGTGCTGAAGGAAAGGAGCTTTGAAGGGAGATAAAGTTGCTGATTTGCAGATGTGTGTTCATACCAGAACCAGAAAGTCTCTTAATGAACTTTCATCTTTTGCTTCAAAAACATCTGGTTTTAATGCATGGAGATGGCACATAGTTATGGGGATCCCTTTTGTAGAGTTCTTAATAAGTCAAAAGTCCACTGAAGTTCCTGCATATGAGCCCCTGGGGGTATTGATACCAAGTTTTGCTGATTCACCAACAGGACATGAGGGAAAGCCTGCCAACACACAAGCACGCAGGTCACATTTTCAAGACATTATGTGTTGTTCATAAGTACATTGAAAAGGAGGTGGTTTAACTGCAACATCTGCAAGTTCTTCATTTCCCTCTTTTCCCTCATGTATTTCGCATACAGGACTGTGAAATAGCAGCATGTCCTCCGCATCCAAATAGTCCTGAAGCCAAGAGATCCCTATCAGGCATTCACAGGACGCAGTGGAGATTTGGATCCTGGACACCGGTAAGCATGTGTTTTTAATACTTTAGCATTATTTTCCAGTAGACAATGTGATATTCTTAAGAGCATTTGACCAACTTTTCATTCCAAAGCCCTTGTAACATATATGAGGAAAGTTTCTAGTGGAGTTGTTGTCGCTCTTCCCTAGTGCTCCGCAACCTGTGGGAAGGGTACCCAGATGAGATACGTCAGCTGTCGGGATGACCAGGGCTCTGTGGCAGACGAGTCAGCCTGTTTCCACCTCCCGAAGCCATCAGCCACAGAAATGTGTACTGTGACACCATGTGGGCAGTGGAAAGCCTTGGAGTGGAGCTCTGTAAGCATTGCGCTGTCTCTTGCATTAGAGCTTTGTAGTCCTCGTTGCTGGAAATTAATTAATTTCATTAGTGTTTCATTAATGTCACACTTGCCCTTCTGTAAGTGGGGAGATTAAAGCTTTCTGCTGTTGTTTATTAGCAATAGCTGTCTGATTTTCAAAGCTGGAAATGTGACCATGTCTCCTTTTCCCACTGTAACACAGTGCTCGGTGACTTGTGGTCAAGGTAAGGCAACGCGACAAGTGATCTGCATCGATTACAGTGACCAGCTGGTGGATAGAAGTGAGTGTGATCCAGACGACCTCCCTGCCACAGAGCAAGACTGCTCCATGTCTCCTTGTCATCCAAACAGCCATGACTATGGCAGGCCTATCCACCCTTTCCTCTATCCGGATCATCGCCTGAAAGTGCACCCTGGAGGCAGCCTGAACAGAAACCGTGCACATATACCAGGAGGCAATCAGTGGAGGATTGGTCCCTGGGGTGCTGTAAGTGACCTTGTTTCCTTATTGCTGAGGTTTTGTTTTTTTTTCCCTGGGCTATTCCATGCTTTTCCCTAAGTCAGCACATAGTGAAGAGAGAGACCTTTCTCTCTGGTGTCTGCTCTCTGCTCACACAAGCATTGCAGTAGGGCATAAGCATTGCTTCTCACACTTTGTATCTCCAAGACTCACTAGTCAGAAAGCTAATGGCATCATTTTCCATGAGGCAAAGGCCAGCCTCTGCTTCTTGGCTGTATCCTGGGACATATACAGCTGTGCAGAGCTGTTGCCGAAGCACAGCAGAGCCTAAATGCCAGTTCCTCTCACCCCAGCCAGTTGCAGCACTTTATCATGGAAGTCCCTGAAGGGAATTAAACACAAATGGGATGTCAAACACTACATTAAAGGCAGTAGAGATTACTCACCTGCTTAAAACCACGCTTGTGTTTATTTTCTTTGCTTAGTCAGCACCTAAGTCATTGCACTGCTATTAGTAATAGCAGGGTTTTGAAGTTAATAATGCCTGTTAGCTGTATTAGACTTCTAGCGGTGCATTCCCACGGTGCAAGGCACTGGGAAGAAGCTGGGAATGCAAAATTATCCCTGGACTCAACAAAGCCATGGGCAATTGTGTCTTCCAGTGCTCTAGCACGTGTGCAGGGGGATTCCAGCGGCGGGTCGTGGTGTGCCAGGATGAAAACGGATACACTGCAAATAACTGCGACGAGAAAAGCAAACCTGTGGAGCAGAGATCATGCGAGTCTGGCCCCTGTCCTCAGTGGGCTTATGGCAACTGGGGAGAGGTGAGTGCAGCATTCATCCTGTGCAGGTTGTTTGAAAAATGGGGAGAACAGGGTGGATATTGTGGTGATCTTTATTAGAAAGGTTGGAGCTTGAAAGGCAGGCTTTGATAAATGAGTGAGCCCCAGCAACTGCTTGGTGGTGTTTTGCTTTCCATTTGTCATGGGGAACTTTCTTCCCAGGCAAAAGCGAATTCTATGAAAAATGAGATTTTCTTTTTAAGAGAAGTTTAACTGAAGGCCTTTTTTTTTGTAATAAAAACATGCTTCCTTCTGCAAATTAATTTGAGATGAACTATTAGGATGTTAACCTCCAATATCATGTTGGGTCTGGCAGTATCATTGTGGAGCAGAATGAACAGATTTGGGAAGAGAGAAGCTGAAGTAGCTGGTGCCTGTCTGACGACATGCAGCTTGTGGTGGGGGGGGTTTGGCCAGAGTGGGTTGGTTGGGAAGAGAAACAACTGTTGGGTCTCAGGAGGTGGTAGTCCTTAGCATGACTGGTCAGCAGTGTTTCTGCTACCCAGGCAGTGATTGCTTTGTCATTTGCTGACTTCCAGTGCACAAAGCCATGTGGGGCAGGGACAAGAACACGGCTAGTGGTGTGCCAGCGCCCTAATGGAGAAAGGTTTACAGACCTGAGCTGTGAAATCCTTGACAAGCCACCAGACAGAGAGCAGTGCAATGTGCAGGACTGTCCTAGAGATGCTGCCTGGAGCGCTGGTCCTTGGAGCTCGGTACGACCATAAACTCTTTCTCTTTGTGAACCGTTTTGTGGATATCCTGTAACAACAGATTTAATTTGCTTCAAACGAAGGTGCTAATGCTTCGTGTCTTAAAACTGCACTTAAAGAGGATTATTGACAATATATTCAGAGTAACAACTGTTCAGGAAGGGCTTACATTAGGGGAGCTCGAGTCCTTTAATTTGAAAAGCACTTTCTGCTAGGTAGCCACTTTTGTCCATGTTATTACATTGTTCAAGCGCTGTGCATTATGAGTCTTGGTTCTGATGGAGTTCTTTGCATATGGATTTAAATCTGGCATTTAAGCAGTACATTGCCATTGAAGTTAAATTTTTCTGGTATTTAATGGTAATACTGCACTGTGCACCTCCTGCTTTACCCAGTTGTGTTTTCTCTACCAAAAGCAAGATGACAGGGGAAAATCTGGACTAAATTGCATTGACTCCCAAGCATGTACGAGTGTGTATAGATGTGTGTGTATGTCCCTACCTGCCCACACACACAGCCGTATAGGACATTTGCAGTCGCACCTTTACTTTTATTTCTTTTCCTGTGTATACATGAGTGTGATGTACTGTGTAAATGCACTTGTAAACTATTCTTGTGCATCTCTGGTTCTGGAGAGCTGTTGTCTGGCCTGATCTCCAGCTTCTGCTGTAGAAATCATTAGATCAGCAAGGTGGCGAAAGGCTTAAAAGCCCTGGGAGTTTTCTAATAACAAAATAGTGTTTGGAGCAGAGGTGTCTTCTGGTGCTCCTTTGCTGCTGGAGGAGTCTGCTACAGAGACACTTCCGTGAGGGCAGGAGCAGCCCTGAACGACAGGGCTGGGATGCTGTTGTGGGCCCTGCAGCTTTGAAATGCTCCCTGCCCAGAGCAGCACTTTCTGCTCAGCACAGAGCCCCAGTGTGCATCGGGGCTGAGCCCTGTACAAGGGTGAGTACTGCTCGGGATGCTCCTGGTGCACTGGAAACAACAGACCTGCCAGTTTTGGAGTGGCCTTCAAACAAATGTCAACCTTTATTGCATATTTTGTTATAAAAGCATTTGAAGAGGATTTAAAAAAAACCTTAATCTGACTTAAAAGCACTTTATATGCAAAAAAAAAAAAAAGGCCTGTTTGTAATGTATTGGACTTCTTTAATTGTCATGGTTTGAAAAGTCATCTTACTAAAACGTAACCACGCTGGTTTCTGTGGGTGCCTTCAGTACCACTCCTCAATATCCTTACCATACCTCAGTGAGCTATGCAATAGCCATCAAACTGCTGAACTGGCATTTAAACGGTGCTTCAACCAGTACAAGGGACAGTGATCTGAAATACTTCATTTGAGGTGCTAATGTATCACTTGTATGCTGATATAGTTGGTGCTAAAAATGAGCTAGGTGAGCTAAACAGAACTAGCGACCCATGCGGTGTCTTCCCAGTGGAATTACCAGCTGGGAGTTGCTGCCAACCTTTTGTTCCCTGTGCTGGACCATTTGCAAGAACCAAAAGTGTGGACAGAGTTGCGTTGCGTTTTGGTGTTGCTCAGCGTTCAGCCTCTTCACAGCTGTTCAGGAGCAGGCTCCAGGGCTGCGCCCAATCTTCTCTGTTGGAAATGCAGGGTGCAGTCCTCGTGGTTTGGTTTCTGGTTGTTCTTTTTCTACCTAGGAAAAATCCCTTTGACTTTACTCGTATTAGCCTTGGTGAATTATCCTTCCTTCCTCTCCTGGGAGAGGTGGCATGTCAGGCAATCTGAGGGCAGAGACATCCTTCCCTGCCTGCAGCATCTCCTCCCATCTACCCATGGGGCTCCCGCAGGGAAGGGGCTGCAGAGTTGAGCCCCATCACTGCCACAAAGTGACTTGATTCAGTCTTATTACTGAGGTGTCCTTTGGCTCTGATGTAGGGGACCCAAGAGCTGTTTGAAAACTGAATTGTACCTGTGGGGCCAACAGGGCTCCGTGTCCCTCCTGCAGACCACTCCACATGTATGTCTACCTCGTGCTACTACTGTAGGTAGTAACATCCAAATTTTACTTTCTTTAGTGTGGTATCACCCGGATTTGATTTAGCTCTGTCATCGGTTACAAACATCATTCTGTCAGCTGTACATACTTCATCTGTTGGGATGGAGTGTCACTACCATATTTTTGGTCACTTTTGAAACAAGAGTATAGTATTAGCTGAAACTTTTCAGCAGTATGGATTTATGTATTTATGTAAAAGTGTATTTATTTTTCCAATATTGTTATTTAATTTTATATAAATATTGCATACATTTACGATGTTTAATGTTAATGTTGAACAGTGAAAATTAAAGACAAATAGAATGTAATCATAAATGAATTTGTATAATGATTTCTTGAGTCTTTTGGTAAATTAAGATCATATACCTAGTTTTGGTAACTTTAACTAAATTTTCTGAAATGCTACTGCGATGTTCCATCTTTTGACTTGCTTTTCTTTTACTTGCTGTGTTCTCCAACAGAAACTGTCATTCTCAATAATTAAACACAGTTGAAAGTATATAAATTACAAAGTTTGGATAACGAATTTCTTGCAAGCATCACATTGTCTCAGCTTTACTCAAGTTTCAGTGAAATTAGTACTATAAAATACATACAAATTAAAGCAGAGAGAGTCTGAAGAGTCCAACACCCGCAGTCCTCAGGTGAAATTCCACTGGGAATTTATACAGAAAAGAAGTGATTTTTATCTAGCTGGTTAAGTCCAGTTTTTAAAGAGATAATTAAGTGAATAAATGGCTTTTTGTATGTAAATGATAATTTTATAACAGGAGACTAGTGAGATGCCTTATCATTGTAATGTGTGTTCAAAGACGACTAAGAGGAGGTGGTATTTTCATTTCCTTGCTTATTTAAGAACATGTATTAAAACACTCTAGATTTGTACAGCATGTGATAGACCTGATCTTTTTATTAAAATAATGCTTTAGAAAACATGCAGAAACTGTCACCAGGATACAGAGAGTGTTTTTAGCTCCTCTGAATGACCTATGGTATGAAAGCAGATCTCCCTGCATGCTCTTGGATACTGAGGGACATCCTGCCATGTTCTCCAGAACGAGGGAGATGTTCCCAGAGGGCATTACCCATCTCTTCACTTAGAACCCAGGGCTGAATCCATTTCTCTGGGAGCAGATTTGCTCCTTGTAATAATCCATGTGAGATTTTGAGGTTCCCATAATGTCCAACTGTATTCTGATACCATTTATTAATAATGCAGAGTTAACATGCTGTGGGCTTCTCATTCCTTCCAAGTTAGAAAATGGGCACAGATAAGGTAGAAGAGTTACATCACACAGCACCTTGTCTTGGTTCAGTTGGGTGAGTCATTTGAGCTTCAAAGCACTGGGGTGGTAATCATTTGGCTTTGACTTGTGGAAAATAGGTTGGTGGGGTTTTAAATTGTTTATTTGCTTGTCTGTTTGAGGTTCTTCTCTCAGAAGAGTCTTACAATTTCAAAAGTAATCTGCTTTGGCAAGTACTTACCATTCTTGGGTATCAAAAGTTCTAGCTGCTAATGCAATGGTTGTGAAGCTCTTTGTGCCTGCAAAATGGCAGTATGTGCTTCCCAGCTCTTTATTGATAAGACAGAGATGCTGCTGTCTTAGTTTTTGAGGGCCTTTCGATCTCACAATGAAGAATCAGAAGCTTGGCATAAGATAATTAGAATTTTATCTGGCTAAGCTCCAAACTCTGTTATTGTCAATGTGAATTCAGGTTTGCTGTGTTTGCTGGAAGCTGGTGGTATTGACATCTTCGCAGGGCTCTTTGGCTGCTGCAGGGACGTAGGTAGCAGTGATGGGGCTTTGACCTCAGGGGAAACTGCCTGGACTCCATCTGTGTCAGGGAGCTGATGCTCAGGAATGTTAATCTTAACATTGGTGTCAGTGGAAAGTTCAGGTTATTTGTATTTAGTTCTGTCAAAGCCCCAACACATTGTTTATGAAATGCCTTCCCCATTCCCTGGCTGAAAATAGGGTGTTCAACAGCAATATTCTCCATGTCGTTGTTCTGATAATACTCGTAGCAGGCAGGATGTTGGCTCTTGCTAAGGCAAAAGTGATAACCGGAGGCAGATTTGGTTGCAAGTGTATATAACTCTGCTGTTCTCTTCCTCTCTTCTGCAGAAAACAAATTTGCTGTGACAGCAGCATTACTGAGCTGCTGTATGATTCTTTACACATGTTTTGCAATAACAAAGCCAGCCTTGAAAATGAACCCTTCAGTCACTCAGTGATTCACATTGCTTTTCCTGTCCTTCATTCACATGATGATGGCTCTGAGACTTCAACAGCAAGTCTGTATTTCTCTATAGTGCCAGATATTATCAGAAAGCTAACAAAACCAGTCCTACCCCGAGAGCCTGTGGGGGAAAGGATAAATGCAAAGGCTGCATAAATGATCCCAGCACCCATAATGCAGGCAGAGGAAGGCAGTGGGTGGCTCACATGCTTTTAAAAAAACGTGTAGGAATAGATGCCTTAGTGAAGTTTTAATAAAGCTCTTCCAGACCAAAATGAGAACTTGGTAGCCTATGGCTATACCCAGCCATCTGTCTGAAGCTGTCTCCATCTCAGAGCTGTTTACTGTATGCTCAGGCTGGCTCACCAAGGCTGTTGTCCCTCTTGAGTTCCCGGCTGCCTCCTCTCCAGGATCACTCAGACATACTGACTCCAGGGACCGCCTGTTTGGTGTGCTGATGAAAGGCAACAAGTTGTCTGCTTTGGTTCCCAGTCAGAAAAAGGCCTTTGACAATGCATCCCTCTTTGCTTTTGTTTACAAAAAGCAAACCAGACCCATTTCAGCCCTTTCCTATGGTCCCTGCTGTGTGACACCCATCCAGAGAATCCCACCACCGGTGCCCAGTTCCACAGCCATTCCAAACATTCACATCCCTGGGTCATAGATGGGAATCTACCTGTTCACTGCCTTGGCCCTTCTCAGGGCTTGTCCCAGAGGGTAAACGCAGTTGTGGTTTTTGT